GGGGACTGCAAATCCAGCCCTTGGAGATCATCTTGTCCCCCAATTTACAGATGACAAAAAAAATAAAGACCCACAGGGGTTAAAGGTTAGCTCAAGTTCACCAAACCAATTAGTGGCAGAGTTAAGGTTGGATCTCTTGACCACAAAATCAGAACTCTTTCCGCTATATCATACTGCCTTTTTCTTCTTCCCCAAAGAGTAACAGAATGTCTCCTTTAAAAGCTTCTTAAGGTACTGTAGTGTCACTTTGATCTAAAAGGTCCATGAGGGAACTGCTGCCTAAGTGTATCAGACGCAAACGATGGTATTAAAACTGAGTTCCTCCACGATCATCAGAGAAGAGAGGGGCAAAGCAGCTTCTGTAGAGCAATCCAGATCAGTGGTTTTGACAAGGGGACTGAGAGACAACAGAACAGACTCATCAGTTATTGAAGTGAGAATCTGTGCTGTTTACTAAGAGGGCACAAGCAGCTGCTTCTGCTTCCCATCAGCACAGTCCTTAAGCTGGCTGAGGCTGAGGGAGCAGCATTTCCTCCGCGGGTGCTCAAAACATGATGACCAATAAACAGAAGTTCACAAACTAACCCTCAGGATTTGAGAAGAAAAGCTCTGATTTTCCCTCAAAACTGCCATCTTTTGCCTCTCATCATCTCACAGAGTAAGGATAGATACACTATACATTCTTTTAGCTCTGAACCCATTCCAGTCTCCAGGGTCTGAAACTTTAATCTGGATCTTCCTATCAGATTAATGGCAGTTGACACCGTTTAACTTTTATGGTATAGTTAAAATGTCCTTTCTGTTATTCTTCTGCGACTTACTTCTTACTATTCATAATCATATTCTGACATGATAAATGCACACATAAGTGGAAGTCTGAAAACCTGGACTCTGTAAACAGGAACATGTCTTGGCTAAATCACCTAACCTCTCAATATCAGGTTCCCTCTTTCGTATCTGGAGATGGCTGGCCCCTACACTCTAAATTACTCTAAGCCTGTTATTTCTTAAAAACACTCTGCAACAAATTCAACACAATAGAACTTACCAGGCCTTGCCCTAACACTACCTCTTAGCAAAGGCTTTAACAGAAGTCTGAGGAGTGTAGTGATAGGACCAAATCTAAAAGGAGTTCTTTGTAAGATCACATGTGAATTGCTTTTGAGAAAGTCTCTTTAGACGTCTTACTTTGGCTCCTCTTCTATACAAACTGCTGTGGGAGCCTAAGAAAAGCAGCTTTCAAACGTGCAAGTACACAGATTTGGTACTGCTGCCGCCAGGCTGCAACCACTGCCAGGGGAAAGAAGTGAGTCAAAGCAATTCAACGCATCGCACGCCTCAATGTCTTCCCTTCACTTGGCAATGATACACTGGGATCAGTCATCCAGCTAAACGTCCAGAGTCCCAAAGTCATTACTAGTGCAAGGGTTTCTAGTCTAAAACTTCCAAGGTGATATAAAAGTTTAAAATCAATACAAAGGAGGTCTTTTTATGTTACTGCTAAATGCTAGGAATAATCTGTCAAAAATTAGAAGGGTAGTAAGACAATGACTTAGGAATTCTACAACGTGTGTGTTAGAACCTTCAGACACACCTTTCTGGCTCGAAGGCGTTATGGTACTTATTAAAAGAATCGAGAAGAATCAAAAGGCAGTTTTTAGTATTAGTTACATAGTCAGAATTTCCAAAGATATTTACATGTGTGTTTTTCAGGCTCCTTTGACATGTATTTCTAATTTTTAAGGGACTATAGATGACTTACACGTTCTTTTCCCTTGAAAAATGTATCATCAAAAGTATTATTAATGGTTTGGGTCAAATTATATCATATATAAGTTTGGATGCATTTTTTTTTTTCTAAAGAGAGTGATTAACTTTACATTTTGTGGCCATACCACTCTGTAAAGAACAGTTCACGTCTGTCCACCAATATAAATAAAATACTTGAAGACTGTCACAAGGACAGTGTCTCTTTTGTCAAACTGCTCTATGTGTGTTTTACACGAAACAGGACTTCCAAATGTAGAAAAGGTATGTGTTTAAACATGAAGAAATGTATTTCTAACAAGTGGGCTTCTTCATTTTAAAAACAGTTCTATGGGTAGTATTTTATGGTAATTTTCAAGAGTTTACAGTAGTCAAATGTTATCCAGAATAAGAGAAATTTCTAAGAAAAAATTTGAAATGGGTCCTACTATAATAATTATCTGGTTGTCTCTAATAAGCAGCAATTTATAAAACAGAAAACTTTATTGTAAGGAGGCATACTTTTAATCAGTATTATTTTCATTCTTTGAGAGTCTAGGAATGTTTATCTTTGCCTATGCCCTGAATTTTTCAGGGGAATTATACAACTGTTAAAAAGGAAACAAATAATATGATTCCTGTGAAGGTTTTTTGGGGTAGGCAACAGGTACAGAAGCCGAAATGCTGGGTTTAATCTACATTAAAAAAATGTAGATTAAAGCTTTCTTAAAAACAGATTTTAAATGGCTATTAGAAATTGTTGAGCCTTTATCAACATAATAGGAAAACTCACTACCATACCCCAAGAAAACTTCTTTGCCCTAATCAAACAAATCTAATTGTCATTACATCCCATATACGGTTTTGCAACTCCTGAAACCATTTCTACTACAAGGAACGTTTTCTCTGACACTTGATCTCTTTTCTTTATTATCAAAAGTCTGTTATCGTGAAACTCTTGTTAATAACTCTTATTAACTTCATCTAACTTGATTTAGGAATAATCTTCTACTCATTTTGAACTCCTACTTTACTTAACTTCATTCAAAAATCACAAAATTATGGAAGTCAGAACATACTTCAGAGATTATCCAACTTAACTCCCTTACTGAAAGACAAGAAAATTCAGGACAAAATTAAGAAATTTTCTCAAGGTTCTGGAACCTGTTCAAGATGAAAGAGCTGGGGCCAGTACAAAGTCATTCATGGGGTTAATTTTTCATTTTCATTTATCACTGAGAAAGACTAACAATTCTAAAGCCAACCAAAGTTTATTTAATTTTTAAAAAAGTAAATCGTGACACTCTTCACAAAGGATAAAAATTTTACTTCATTAAAATTTACTTCATTAAAATGACCAACAGTCATTCCACATTCAAAGTAAATGTAGTGAGCACCCACGGCTATGCCAGCCCTTTAAAAATAAAAGGCAAAACAATATACGAGAACTAAATACTTATTCTAAGATCCTGATATTTCAGCACACTGTACTCCAATGGACTCCACTATTTAATAAAAATATACCCTAGTTTGATACTCTTCCTCTATTCTGGTTGCTTTCTTTTACCATTCCTTACTTCAGCTTCTAAATAATTCATACCTTATACTTATTAGGAGATGTTATCTTGAAGAACTGGCAATAGTACAACACAGCTTCAAAAATACACACTTTCTACCTGAACTACAAAATGTTTCCAACATAGGTTCTTTTCATGAAATGCCACATTCAACTTACGCTTGAACACTGCAGTCATATTATTCTAGATCTCCTTTAACTCAAAATATCACTTTGTATCACAGGGTTATAAAATAGCCAGGACCTTTCTCCTAATAGGTCAAATCCTCTCAATACTTACTTTGTAGATTGTGATTTGAAGGTAAGAACACTTTTTCTCAAATAACCTGCACTAAGAGTTATATAATTAACATAGTTATTTTACACTTGGGGAACTAAGGTGAAGAGATACTTAAGGTCTCATACAAGTGACTCTAAGACATTTGCTCTAATTCTCAATTTAACAGTCCAGACATAAGCTTATGCCTCATTAGAAAGTTATCAAACAGAAGATATCCTTTTCTAATTTGTCTCCAAGTTTCAAATAAAATACACTACATGTGGATATCAAAACTTCTAAAATTCATTTTATCACTGGTTAAAATTTGGTGTTTAGGACTTTTCTAAACCATGTTGATCTTTCTGTAACTGTCTGAGATAAAGAATCACAAGTAGAGACTTTGAAGATGTAAGATTTTTCAAAAAGGATCTGAGAAAACAGAATTGTAAAACTAGCCTGCATTCGTGTGGTCATTATTCTTGCAGCACGCTAATCCATTATGAATATTTAGTTAAGTCAGAGACTCATCAACACTCTTTTGCTCCCTACATATTTACAGCAACAGTCTCTCAAGGAGGCAATGAGTCTGCAGTGTATATGGATCTAATAAAATGTGTGAATTGTTTTATTCTGCTGCACTCAATTTTACAATTCTGAAAAGTCTTTTTGAGATATATTTCTCCATATGTTTCTGGCCTTGTCCATATCATTCTTTGAATTGACTTTCTTCAGTGAACTAAAGCATTCACTTAGTTTCAACAAATAATACACATAAAATTATGATTTTTTTTTTCTCAGTTTGTGAATAACATTGAGATGTAGCCCTTGTTAGGTCAATCTTGAAATGAAGATTCAATGTTTTCCTCTGAGGATCAGAAAAATAATTCAAAAGAAATACTGAGCTCTATCACTTAAGCTCTCTTAATAGTTTCAGTGGTGTTTAGGCTTAAATCTCTACAAATTTTAAGATAAAAATACACTACATGTGGATTTCCGATCTTCAAGTTACAGACAGAAGCTCTTATTACAGCAGCCAAAATATAATCTGAATGCTTATTTTGATTTCTTTGCACTACCCAAAATCAAATAACTTTTGTTGGGCAACTGCAGACACTCGGCTGAGTCAATGAACATATTTAAGACAGCTGCTTCTTGTTTGTGAACCCAAAACTATTTTTACTGAAGGAGGCGCAGGTTGTACAATGAAAAAAAAATCAGAATCCTCCAAAAAAGTTTTTAAAAATGCTCAACAGAAAGGATCCATTTAACATGTTTAACGATGAAACAGCAATCTGATCTATGTAAATCTCAGAACACAACTAACAGATATTCCTCAACTAGCCACATTCTAAAAAAATTGTTTTTAGAAAAAAGCGACAAATTATAAAAAGCTAACATCAATTATAAACAAACACCAACCTCTCAGAATGTCTTGTGCAGGGAGTGCAGAGGTGGAGATGTTGTTGGTGTTGGTAGTGGGCAATTAATTGGGTGTCAGTACCTACTTCTTCAAACATCTGTAAAATAATTATTATTCATTAAAGTGATCCTCTCGTTAAAAAATAAGCTTCCCTCTAGTATTTCTTATTAATCAGTCAAGTGTATTAAACATTTTTATATTTGTAATACAAATATGAAACTAAAAAGTTTTCTAGCTGTCCATGAATAAAGTAACCTAAACTCTTCTTTTCTAAATATTCCTGTTTATTCTATACTTTTTATTCTTTTTAAATTTTTTATTTTATTTTTTAATTGACATATAACAGCTATACATATTTATGGTGTTGATATTTCAATACATATGGTGTATAGTAATCAGATCAGGGTGATTATCACATATCCATCATCCTAAACATTTATCACTTCTCCCTGTTGGGAACACTCAATATCTTCCTTGTAGCTATTTGAAACTATATATTATTGTTAACTACAGTTATTCTACAGTAGTATAACACTAGAACTTATTCCTGCTATTTCGCTGTAATTTTATATCCTTTAACAAATCTCATTTTTATTCTTGAATATTAAGACATTAGTTTCATTTCTTAATATACTAAAATTACTATTTGGTAGAAAGTGTATTCTCTTACTGTATGTTTTAAGGTGATATATTAAAAATGTATTAGTGATCTATTTTATTAACTGACATTTTCTCTGAATTTAAAGTGCATTTCCTCAAATGCTGTGAATAAGAAATAGTTAAATCTAATTAGCTAAGTCTAATACATAACATCTGATTCAAACTCAGGTGTACCAATATACATGAAAGAATAGATATAAAAATATGTATGAATATAACCCTAATTTGGATCCATTTCATAATTTCTAATAAAGTAATATTTTGGAAATAAGAACTAAAAAATTTATCTGTTTTCCATTTCCATGCTCATGAAATCAGAACAGGGGTGTTAAAAGGTTTGGTGACTTGGCAGTCAGGCCTGGCTATGAATTTTGACTACTAGTAGTTATCTAACCTAAGGACCTCTGTTCATTAATCTGTAAAAGTAGACTAGGGCCTACTTCACAGGATGGTTACAACAGAAACAGACAATAAATAGACAATAAATGTGAAAAATCCCTTTCAGAGTACCTCATATATGCTGCCTTGTATACATACTGTTAAAAATGCACATTTCCTTCCCTCTTCAAATCCTTTGGCACCACTTCAACCCAAGAGATAACTATAGCAGTTCCTAAGTGATAATTTCCATTCAAACTAATCTGTACCAGATTTACTTAGAATCATGCTTTGAGGTTTTCACTCCGTGAAATCAAACCCTTCAGTGGCCCTTTACGGTCTACTCCTAGAATTTAATTCCTTAGTTTGGTATTCTGCATCTTTTTTGTGCCCCTTCCCACCTGACTCCCCACCCACATATTCAAAACCTGGCCTCAAACTTCCTTTGCCTTTTACTATATTCCAGAAGATTTACTCAAGGCCCAGCTCCCTGCAATGGAGTGCTTTTTTGCCTCTTATCATTTGTCCAGAGATCCCTTATTTAAATCGGCCCTTCTCTCTTCCTCTTGATGCAAGTCAAATATGATCCTAAGCAAAATAACATCTTCTTCCTCTAGATTCTTAACTTTCTACAGCATGAGCCATAAACTGCCTTGTGACACTATTCTATTATTATCTCAAATGATAATTTTAAATCTGTGACTCAGCCTCTTATTGTACCTCTACTTCAGAAACATTCACATCACCATCATCATCATCATCATCGCTAGCCTCTTAATTATAGGCAGGGAGTCTTAAAGTTCTCATTGAAGACCGTAGATTTACATCTGTGAAGTTAACATCCTCCATGGTTCATCCTTAACTTTAACCTCTGAATGTGGGAGGGGGATGGGAAAAAGTAGGTGTCTCCCTTATTTGTCTTTGAAGTTGCCATAATAGCATAAATCAAGAAAAAGGAGAACGCAGTCCCATCATGATTTTGTCAACCATAGTAAGTACAAAAAATAAGAGCCAGGACCTTTGCGTGGAAACTGTCTTGGAAGCCTTTTAAATGCAAATAATTTCAAACAAATCAACAAAAGTCTCCGGCACATTTTTTAAAGATTGAAAGAAAAGGAAACGTACTCAAATAAATCCTTGATTAAGTAGCTCCAATGAGTGCAGAAGAAAGGCTGTCTCCATGAGCTTTAATTTTGAAGGAACAGCTGACTGGATGACTCCATTCAGTGAAAATCAGACCCACTCCTGCCTTGGCACTGAGCTCTATTAGTTCTCTGACTCAGAGTTCCAGAGCACGAACTTTCCTAGGTCCAGAGTGGTTCTTAGCAGGTAGCTGGTTACTAAGGGATGAAAACACAAGCCCCATGTTTACTGGGCAGCTCCAGGCTCACAGAAATAACACTGCCATCAACCTGATTATAACAAACACACATCTATATGTGCTGTGTAGGGGTTAAGTAACAGGAAATAACTATAAATGGATGAAAACGGCAGCCAAGACTCCTCTAAGCTCAAAACAGACCTTAACATAAGTGCAATAATGTCATCATTCAAATGAGACACAGTGCTTGGCTAGCACAAGAAAAAGGAGTAGTGTCCACTGGCTAAGCACAAAAGAAGCTCACAGATTCTGAGTAAGATTTGCTGGGAGAAAACAGTTTGGCACGTGCATAGAAGAAGAAAACCATATTTAGAAATCTTCAACAACATAATATGTAGGTGAGCTTCCCAGAAGGGTCCCAATTCCTCAAAATAAGTATTAATATTAAAGTGCAGCTGCTCTACTTTCTGTTCCATTGTTTTTACAGAAACAATCAGCGATTTATTTTTCAGATTTAATAAAACCTAGTCAGGCTTTTGGAAATGTAAATTTTTATAGCTAAGATAAATAAATGGTAATACACTAGAAAACATTCAAGAAAACAGATTCATTGCTCCCTTCTTTTTCATCAAAATTACAGATCCATTTAAATATTTTACTTTTTAAATTTCAAATACAAACTACAAGACAAAATGAATATTGTTATTCAAGCAAGACCTAAATCTGAATGAAACTATTCAAAACTATTTTAATAAAATACTTTCTAATAATATAGATAAATCTATTTTTAGAATACTTCCTTGAATAATTACATAAACCTCAACATTGAGCTTACTTTTATATTTATTACCAACTTTACTGTATAATAGACATGCTATAAGAGTAAAATATATGTAGTTCAAAATTTATTCTTAATTTAGCATTTATAAAACCTTTTCCAAATTAAGCCCATCCAATGCAGAATCTATTATAAATGCATTTCCTAGCATCCTCAGAAAGAAAATTTTATATCACATATTTATAAATTTTTCTACTGTATTTAAGGATGGTCCAACTTATTTTATTAATAATAGTTTATTTTTAATATTCATTCCAACTTAAATCATTAGAGAATATATGGCTTTCAGAAGACAAGACATTAAATCAAAATGAGTGTGGTAGGTTTTATGAAGCACTTTCAAGCCTGTCTAAATTAATAAAATACTAAGTGAATTAATACTACAAAAGAAACTTTTATCACTGATAATATAAAATATTAATGTGAATACTTAACAGGTCAAGACTTTTACATTAATCAAAGACACATTATAATAATAGTTAGAATGAACATTCTCCAATCAGTAAAGTTTTCATGTGAGGTAATTTCTCCCATTTTTTCCCTGATAAGCATAACAGAATGTTTCTCTCCTTGAATTCCTGAGCAACAAAAAGTAATCTGTTCTTCTTGAGATAGGGTGGTATTAACTACTTCTCCGAACAGAACATTTGGTATAATACGTTTCCTTAAGAGTTTTGTCTAGTAAGCAGTTAGTTAGAAGGGGTGAATTCTCACAGATAGTCTGGGTTCTTGTGCCTCATGGCTGGATAGCCCAGTGAATCTTGGGTGTTTTATGTGTTTGGAGGCTGGGGGTAGCAGGTTAACAGCTAGGCTTTCAATAACAAATAATTTGACATTTTAAAAACTCACAATTTTTAAGCTTCCAAATTTGAATCAGAATTCAGTTAGTGTTATTAAAAATAAATCCTTCACTAAAAAAGTTTCCCCCTTTTTCCTTCTTTTTTAGTTGTAAAAGTTTTCTCCTGCCTTCTCATCTTACACTAAAAGTTGCAAGACTTAAATGGAATCTTCAAAACCAGATCTATAACATCATGAGAGAAACATGTCCACTGGCTAAGCACAACAGAAATGTACACAGTCTGTATTGCTGAATAAAGGTCAGGAAGAGTCTATACTTGACCTTGGTTAAAGACCAAATACAAAGCTCACCAGTCACCCGCTCACCCTCAGGAGTGATTGGGCTGTGGTTACAATCTACAGAGAATTCAAAGGAAGTTGGTTTCCCTTCCCACTGTAGCATGATTTCTGGCATCTTTTGCCTTTGGTGCAGAGTTCAAAAGTACTCAAGATGAATCCAGGGCCAGTAACACATTTACGAAATATTAGTCATGTGAGAATCTGGAGTCAAATAACTCCTTGAAAGTGGTTTAGCGATTCCCTGCAATAGTAATGGAAAGACTACATGAAGGTAGCAAGGAAAGAAGTCAGGCTCTCACTCACCATTCACCTGGAGTTGAGGCGTCCCAAGCAGAGGAACCACAACAGAAAGGAAAAAACAACTTGCCTTCAGCACCAGATACAGACAGACTCACTGACTTCAAGGAAAAGCCCAACAGAAAGGACCAATACTGACTCAAAGATGGTAACCAGAGTGTGAGAAAAGACATGGGGTTATGCTGTATAGCAAATAACAAAGGTTAGGATGAGTTGCCCTGGGCATGGCTGTAGGGTTGAGGGAAAAGAAGAAGGAGCAAGGCGGCAGAAATCAAGCATTAGCATTGAACAATGCCTGGGTTGCCTGATAAATGAAATTGGGAAGCCAAAGGCATTTTTTATACTAGAACAAATCAACCCTAAAGAACAAAGAGAGGAAGAGAAGTTCAATGTATGCCCCCACTTGCTGGGTTATGAGACAATAACTGGCAGGTTGCTGTGACACAGTTATGGGCCTAAAGCCCAGTAAGGCAGATAGATTCAGACCCTGGTAGTGGTGCCCAGACAAATAGTGACAAAGTGTTTTTCATTTCAATTAGAAGATAGAATACAAAATTGTGGTGTCAAAAGGAATCTTACAGATCACTGGTCTAACACTAATTTTTCAAAAAAAAGTAAAGTAAAGCTCAAGAAGAAATGACTGGCTATGGTTTAACAAAGCTACTTACTAGCAAAACTATTTACAGTACTCATGATTTTGGCCTAGTGCTTTTAGGGAAATTATTGTAGCTAAGCAGGCGAAAGGCATTTCAGTGCTGACTGCATTTACATCTTTCCTTTCTACATTCAATAAATATCCATTGAATAAGTACCAGGAAATAGGGTAGATCCTGGTATATTTCCTGGGAAACTGCAGAAGATATGTGTAGTAGTGACAGCAAGCTTGACAAAAGACAAAATATTGAGATTAGTCAACTAAAATTCTAAAACACGAAGTACCCGTTACAAGATTAGGAGGAATTTTTGGTATTAAAATTGGAACAGTATGTACAAATATCAGATACCGAAAGAATCATTGGCTAACGAAAACAAAAGAGGGTGAACGACAGAAAAGGGGACGTGAGTTATTTACTCAAGTTTTTGGAACTGTTGCAATACAGAACAAAACATGGGTTGATCAAGGCTCTGCAGCTTGCAAATAGTCCTCTGTAGGTCACTCTTTCTCTATCTGAACAAGAATTAGGGGGAAAAGAAAAGAAATGTACATTCTCTGCAAAAACTATTTCTTAGAAGTCAGAAAAAGTTGACAGTTTTCATTTATCGCAAGAGAACATTTATTCTTATGATAAGGTTTTCTGGAGGCAAAACATTTAGTAAGCACACAGATCCAGCTATTTCAGGATGTTTAGATTTAAATGAGTTTGAGAAAAGGTATGAGTGACAATTTGGGAAACAGAAAAATAAAAGCAGCTTTCACAAAGAGTAAAACTAACTTTTAAAAAATGAGGGTCATCAGGGTTTTTGTTAAAATGTTTACAGGCAAACTCAAAAATGTTTTCCATTTTTAAACTTCTGCTTGGATATAGTCATATTCATGCAAAGTATCATTCATAAAGATATGGTGAATATATCAAACAAAAATCTAGTAATTTTAAAGAACTATAGGAGCCAGAGAGAGAGAATACTTACATTCTGTTAGTAGGAGTATAAAATGTAATAAGTTCTATGGAAATCCACGTGGCATTATCTTGTGGAATTTCAGGTTTGGCGTACCCTATCACCTAACAGTTCAGCTCCTGAACATATATCCTGAAGAAATAATATGTACATAAAGAGGGCATATACAGGACTCAACAACTTTTCCTCTGCTGCTTTATTTCTAATGACAAAAAGAAAAAAGAAAAGAAAAGGAAAGAAAAGAAAAGAAAAGAAAAAAGAAAAGAAAAGAAAGACAGCTTAAATAGCCATTAAAAGAAAGTAAATAAATTGCGGTATTTTCATACAATAAAAGATTATACATATATGATGATAAATGAATTACAAAGACAAGCAGGAATGAGTCATAAATATGATGTTGAGCAGGAAAAATAGTTGTTGCAGAAGAAAACATGTAGTATTATTTATATAAAATTTAAAAACAAGCAAAATTTAATGTAGGGGGTACATAAGTATAAGAAAAATGACAAAGAAAAACACAGAAGTAATAAACTCAACATTAAGGATTGTGGTGAGGGGGTAAAGAGAGGCAATGGAATCTGGGTGGGGCACACGGTGGGCTACAAAGAAACTGGTAATGTTCTATTCTCAAACTAGTGGTAGGTTCTCAGTTATTCGTGTTAATGCTATTCTTTGTACCTTACCTACATAGTATAAGTATTTTTGTGTAGGGTAGCAAAAAGAAATTATCATAGTTTAGATTCATCCTGATTCTAAAGATATGACTGCAGAATTATAAACACAGATAATGGTAGAGAAGGTAGCATAATAGGGTGCTGACTATAGCCACAAACTTATTTCTCAAGTTAATAAATTTTTTTGTTTAAAGGCACATATTCAGCTTGCACACCATAGGGACATACAGAGAGTCTAATTCACCATTTCTAATATCTAATTCAGTATTGTGACATTATACCTGTTATCATTGTGAAACTCAGTTTTCTAATATGTTTTATTAGAAGGTATAAAGGGGTCATTAATATCAATGCACAATAAATATTCTTGTATCTATAGCATTTTCTGTATATACAAACATTCTTGTATATACAGCATTCTTACTTTTAAAAAGTTCTCAGAAATAACATTATATTTACTTAACAAACTATTTTAAAGGTATTTTTAAGTATTCGCAAGTAGCAAGTACCTAGCATGTACTTAGGACTCTGTAAAATTATCTCTTAATTCACATCACTCTTTGAGGTGAATATTTCCAGCGTTAGTTTACACATGTGGAAATTGAGATTCAGCACTGTGAAGTAGACTGCCCAACGTTTAAAAGCTAGCATAGTTGGGATTCAAATGATATCCAACTCTGATACCCAAATGTGAAAACCACGCATCTACTAGGTAGGACTGTCTAAAACTACAACAGCGAAAATAAATTTCTAATGCAAAAAACAAAACAAAACAAAACAAAACAAAAAACCCAGACTTGTTCTATTTCAGCTTACTATTTCAGTTTATGTTATTTAGAATGCATCCCTGAATCATGTTCTAATGGTCTGTATCAATTTTATGTCATAGTACTTCTTTATTACTTCATATAATCACAATTTACACTTAAACCCTATAAATTCTAAAACTGGCAGCGGATCCCAATTATGTTTATGGAAAGTCTCAACTTGGCTGTACTTCTTTTCATAACTGGAATTTCTCTAAGACTGGAAGTAAAGTTAGCTGTTGGTACGCTGAAACTTAGCACTTTCATTTCATGACCCCCCAC